TGACTGAGCCACCCAGGCGCCCCTAAAGGAAATAAATTTAAATAACTAAGACTAATTTGAGTAACTAAAAATGACACGTTTGAATTAGAAATTATTTAAAATACATTAAGCATTTTTAAAAATCTACATAATGAAACATAATTCACATAGGCAAAGAAAAGGAGAAAAAGGATACCATAGAAGGAAAAAATAGTTTATCAAAATACAAGCATGAGTACTTAATTTCCTATTTTTTAAACTCAAACATTTAAAAATGACTTTACAAGTTCTTTTTTTATAATTAAAAAAAAACTTATTTTTGAGAGAGAGAGAGAGAGAGAGTGCAAGTGGGGGAGGAGTAGAGAGACAGGGAGACACAGAATCCAAAGCAGGCTCCAGTCTCTGAGCTGTCAGCACATAGCCTAATGAGGGGCTTAAACCCATGAACTATAAGATCATGACCTGAGCTGAAGTCAGACACTTAAGCAACTGAGCCACCCAGGTACCTCTAAAAATTCTTTATAAATGAAAGAAGAATGTGAGTCATTGAGCATATGTACAGGTAGAAATTCTAGGAATATTACACAGTTGAGGTCATTGGTTCACCAGAATTCACAAGATAAGTCTGTTTCACATTTAAATTATAATGTGATAAGGGGTGGCTCAGTCGTTGAGTGTCCAACTCTTGATTTTGGCTCAGATCACGATCCTAGGGTTGTGGGATCGAGTCCTGTATTGGGCTCTGCGCTAGTCTCCCCCACTCGTACGCTCTCTCTAAAATATATATATATATACACACATATATATATTTTATTATGTAAATATACATATTTATTTTAAATATATATCTAAAATATATATATTTAAAATAACTATATATACACACACATACATACATACACACAAATAAACACATACACATAGAATATGATGAGTGTTAACATTGAGATAAGTCCTGGGAACTAATGAAACAAAACAGAAAGCACTGGACTGAGAATAATGACTACTGTGTAAGGTGGAGTGAATGCACACTAAAGAAGCTACATCTAAATGAAGTCTTATAGTAGTGCTTGTAGGAGTAGCTTAGGTGAAAAGGAGATCTAGCCTAAGGAACAGAACCTTTTGTCCTTCAAGGACGAGGGAAAAAATACATGGTATATTGGGAAGTGGGGAGGTGCTTCAATAAAGTAAGAATTTGACATAGGGTCTCCCTGAATAATGTTCAATATTTCATCAAATATGGAATTAATAAAAACAATACAGAGCTAGAAATAAAGGCGGGTGTTATCAGCTTCCAACCAGGAAAAGAGCAATGACCCCTAATACAAAAAACAGAAATTTTAAACAGGAATTTAATCCAGAGAGTTGACTAGCAAGTGTTAGACTTGCTAAGAACCCAGACAGGGAAAATGAGGCAACCCAAAAATCAGCACAGCACAGGAAGTCCGCTTACCCTCAGGACTGGAAGACACAAGTGGGGTTTCCATAGCCAAAATGTAAAACCACCCAGCAGAAGCTCAAGCCATAAGAGGAGTTTCCTCACAGAAGCCGGAAACACTGAGGGAGGAGCTGTCTGATATGACCTGGACCCAGAGAGAAAATGCAGCTACTGCCAAGAAAAGAAGAATGTAAAGGAGAGAAATACTCTGACTTCTTTCTTTTCACTCTCCAGTCTCCCTCCACAGAGGTGAATCCTGCTGACAATGGAGCTTGGAAAGACAGCCTGCAGAGGTCTTCCCCAAATATTTTCCTCTCTCTACAAAACCCTCAGCAATTCCTCTACCATCCTTATTCTCAGATGATGATCTTACTTCATACTTTACTAAGAAAATGAATTAATCACAGGAGAGCTTGCACAGAGCCGTTCACCACACCTACCACTCCCCATCTTCTGCACCCACCACATCTCTGCACCCACCAGCACCTGCCCTCACAAGCTCTGCCTCCTGCCTGATACTGGAATAATCTCTCCATCCTCCTGTCTAAAGCCAGTCCCTCCACTTAGGTTTTAAAGTCAGTTTCTTCTTACCTACTCAAGAACACTCCAGAAATTCTCCTCTCTTCTTCCAACATAGTCATTTCTCTCTTTCTACTCAATCATTTGTATCATGATGCAAACACACAGTTATTCCTTCCATCTTAAAACAAAGATATCAAAAGAAAATTATCTTTACGCTATTTCCACTTTACCAAATCACCTACTTCTTTGGTCATCATTGTATCAAAACTCCTGGAAAAAGTTGTCTATATTCAACTTTTTTTTTCTCTTGTCAATAACTAAAATACACATCAATCAGGGTTTTATCCCCCTCACTCCAGAGAAAGTTATCTAGCCAAGGACACTAGTGACCTTAACATTGCCACATGTACTGTACAATTCACAGTCCTCATCTTAACCTGACAACAGCATTTATCACAGCTGTCACTCATTCCTTGATACACTTCCTTAGCTTCTGGGACACCACATTCTCTCCATTCCTGTCTTTCCTCAACAGGCCTTCTCAGTTTCCTTTAGAAAAAAAGCAGCAAAGGGGCACCTGGGCGGCTCAGTCGGCTAAGCGTCTAACTTCAGCTAAGGTCATGATCTCACGGTCCGTGAGTTCAAGCCCCATGTCAGGCTCTATGCTGATGGCTCAGAGCCTGGAGCCTCCTTTGGATTCTGTGTCTCCCTCTCTCTCTGTACCTTCCCCACTAGCTCTCTCTCTCTCTCTCTCTCTCAAAATGAAATAAACATTAAAAAAAAAAAAAAAAAAAAAAAAAGAAAAAGGCAGCAAAAAACACCTTCATCTTATCCCTGACCTCTTAACGTTGGAGTATACCAGGCTCAACTATTGGTCTTTCTTTTTTCTCTATTGTACCCACTCCCTTGGTAATCTCTTTCTAGGCTCATGTCGACAACTCCCAAATGTATACCTTCAGCCAATATATGTCTCCCAAAATCTAGATTCAGCATTCTATTTAGATGTTTTCAAGACATCTCAAGCTTAACATGTCCATATGGAACTCTATACCTTTGCTAAAAACTTACTACATTGACAGCCTTCCCATTTCAGTTGATAGCAAGTTTATCCTTAAAGTTGATCAGGCCAGAATCTCTAGTCATCCTTGACTCTTTTCTTTCTCTCACACTCAACATTCATCTGTCAGAAAATTCTGTTGGTTCTACTTTCAACATATATCCAGAATCAGATTATGTCCCATTACCTTCATTGCCACAACACTACTGTGAACAAATATTTCTCACCTGGGTTGCTGCAATAGCGTCTAATAGGCCTTCCTGTTTCTACCTTTCTTCCCCTACCTTAGCAAGGGATCCTTTTAGAACAAAATCAGAACATGTCACTCCTCTACTCAAAATCCTACAATTGATCCCCTCTCACAGACAGTAAAAACCAAGGTTCTACATGATTTGACTTCTGTTATATCTTTGAAATCATACCCTAATATTTCTACCATTGTTCTTTTGTTCCAGCCACACTGTTTAAATAATAGATATTTGTTAAACAAATCAATCCCAGTCTCCAAGGAGCTCATATTCTACTGGGAGAAACAGAGAGATATTAATGATTCCAAAACAGAAGGTGGTGATTAAAGCTCTCCTCCATTTCCCATCCTAAATTCTGGCAGGTGAGTGTGGAAGGTTGAGAAATTTACCAGGGATGGGAATGATGTTGGAGAACACAGGTAGGAAGCAAAGACATTTCAGGCAGGACAAACACGGCACATGTAAAGATCTGGAGAAATGAATCAGCACAACATTTAGAGAATTACAAGTAAAGCATAAATTAAAGAATAACATTTGAGATTAGAGGATCTGGACGTGGGAGGTAAGACAAATACAATTTATACTTTAGATAGGAGTCAGATCATGAAAGACTTTCCATTTGTTTGTTTCTTCCCTTACAGCTTTCAAGCTGCTCTCAGAGTAATTTATTAATCATATCTTTTTGATGCACCCTCTCAACAGGGCTAAAACAATACTTGGAAAGGATTCTGATTTCCCTGAGTTAAAGATACAAAAGAAAAACCTAGAGTCACATTTAATTTGACAAGGTAAAGGAGTGGGTGTGCTACTATATCAAATTTAATTTGTACAAAATCATAATCTCTGGTAACATTATTTTTCCTGATCTACTGCGTTTAGACTACTTTAGTAAGGCTTGATCTCCCTGTCTACCTAAACACTGATTCACTTACAGCAAGCTTCAGGGTAACATTGGTCTTATTAATACCCAACAAATCCACAAGGTGTTAGTTGCACATGATTTTGTATAAAAGGTGAACTCAGATGACTCAGTCTACAGCTTTCACCAGACTAGGCAGCCAACCAAAGGTGAGTCTTGACATCTATAGTTATCAAGTGGTGATGGTTACTTTTAAAATTATAGGTTTTCCAGGATCTGGAGAACAAATCAAGACCTTTTCAACTACTGTTGTGTAGACAATTTGTGCTTGTCAACTTGATTCTTAAATATGGTTAATATGCTGTAGTCACTCTTAGCAAGCAATTGAACTTTACATAGACCAATTCACCTGGCTTCTTAAAATAGTCTTATTTTAAACAAAGGTGAGCAAAAGCAAATGATGATATTTATGAGATGCTAAAAATGATGAGCTAATTTTATAGTATAGAATTTCTTTTTTCTTTTTAAACAAAAATAGTCTTTAAAATGGTAATGAATGGATAAATATGACAATCACAAATTACCATCCTCAGAATAATCACTTAAATACTCTAATCTTTATATTATTGCTCTGCTTAAATCATTATATTGGAGTTTTGACCTGCAATATGGTTTACTTTGGCAAAAAAAAGAAAAAAAAAAACAAGAAGGAGTGTAAGAGGAAATGTTTGTTCAAGAAACAAAGAAGGAAAGAAAAAGGAAGGAAAAATTGCTGAAGCAAAATGTGACTGGGGAGGATGGGAAGATCAATTATTTTTGGTTTGGCCAACTTACATAATGATTATATATTTGGTTTTTTGTTTCTCATAGTCTTAATTGTTTGCTTTACAGACCAGGATGAAGTCAGTCCAGTTTTGCTTCCTTTTCTGTTGCTGGAGAGTAATCTGCTGCAAGAGCTGTGAGCTGACAAACATTACCATCACAGTGGAGAAAGAGGAATGTCGCTTCTGCATAAGCATCAATGCCACTTGGTGTGCAGGCTACTGCTACACCCGGGTAGGAACTTTGCTTTGCTGGAAGTGAGGGTGGTAAGGGTCTATACAAGGCTGGCTTCATTAATTCTCACTTTATGAATATTTTAGCTTTTCAAAATAATAGCCATGAGTCCTTTAGCCAATACTGCCTGTGTTATGATTGCGGTTAATTGCCATGATATCAGTTAGATGTTTGGGATTGGATTTGATTAGGATAAATCTAGGGAAGCCTCAGATTTGATCTGACCAACTTGGAAATATGCCAATTCTTCATTTCCAAAAAAAAAAAGTAGTGCTATGGTAGATTTTACATATAGAGAGATAAACACGTAAACATACGTATATTTAATAACAGATCTAAAATATTCCCCAAAAGCCATTTTCTGTAATTGAAGCCATATCTTTGCAACAGAGATAGTATCAAAATATGTTTCTATACCACATAAAAAACATAAACAGCCATATTTTTTACAGTTATTTATTTATTTGAGAAAGAGAGAGAGAAATACAGCATGACTGGGGGACGGACAGACAAGAGGGAGAGAGAATGTCAAGCAGGCTCTGCACTGTCAGCATGGAGCCCAACACGGGGCTTGAACTGGTGAACCATGAGATCATGACCTGATCAAGAACAGACTGAGGCACCCAGGTGCCCCACAAACAGCCATATTATAAAAACTGCCTTATTGGTCTACCTGATTAGAAATGGCAACAAGTAGCCTGAGAACACAGTCAATGCATACAGACTATTAGAACCAAAATGAATCAGCAATCCTACTCACTTCTTCATGTCTTTGAGAAAAACAAAGCACAGAAGCATTAAAGCACTAGTTTGTATTCACTCAGCTTCTTTGCATAAACTCAAGTAAAGAGTTTCTACTTTGTTTACTTTGTTCTCCTATAATACCTGGTTATCTATGCAAAATTTCATTCTATAGACTGAAACTGAAAATAACTTTTTAATGAAATATATTTATTGGGCAGTAAATGAATTTGATCAATAGACCTGGTAGCATGATATTGAAACAAATTAAGCAGCACTGCAAATTTCCTCTCGTGATGCAAACAATTTTTCTAGAAACTATTAGAACAAACCTATTCTGCCTGGATTAAAAGTTCTCATATGCAGGGGCAACTGGGTGGTTCAGTCGGCTGAGCATCTGACTCATGATCTTGGCTCAGGTCATGATCTCACTTTGGGATCAAGCCCCACCTTGGGTTGGGCTCTGTGCTGACAGGGCGAAACCTGCTTGGGATTCTCTCTCTACCTCTCCCCCATTTCATAGTCTGTCTCTCTCTCTCTCAAATTAATAAATAAACTTTAAAAAATGTTTTCATATGCAAACCGTGTATGTTTTGAAACTGAAAGCCCTGCAAAATATACAACATTTAAGGGAGGGAAATGTCTACAAAACAGTAAAATATTTAAAATTTTCCATGAGCTTTCATAGTCATGTTAAGCTAAGCATTAACATTTCCTATTATGTCTTTTTTGGCCTTTTATAAACACCAAGGGACAATGTATTTGGAAACATTTTTTGAGAAATTAAACTTCAGTATTTTATGGTTCAAGTTGTCATTAATACAGCTTTTGACTAAGTACAAAAATCAACTTAAAATTTATGTTATACTTCACTTTTCATCTTTTTCTATATTGAAATTTAAAATTTCTCTACAGTTTGAGAAATATTTAAGATGTGATACTGACATAAGGAGTAGGAAAAGGAATGACTTATCTTTTCTGTACAATTTCCAGAACCAGGAAATAGGATATTTATAAGATCATATTTCCTTGGTTAGGAATTCCTTAAGTGAGCTTTAATGGGTAAATGTTAGAACAAGCAATATTAAGTTTCCATCTCATTTTGATTATGCTACATAGAAACTTCCAGCATATTTTAATCTAATCCTCTCCTTTCTAAACTCCTCAGGATCTAGTGTACAAGGACCCAGCCAGGCCCAACAACCAGAAAACATGTACCTTCAAAGAGCTGGTGTACGAGACAGTGAAAGTGCCCGGCTGTGCTCACCAGGCAGATTCCCTGTATACATATCCAGTAGCCACTGAATGTCACTGTGGCAAGTGTGACAGTGACAGTACTGACTGCACCGTACAAGGCCTGGGGCCCAGCTACTGCTCCTTCAGTGAAATGAAAGAATAAAGAGCAATGGACATTTCAGGTGACCTATCCTTGTCCTAAAGGACCAAAATATCCAAGAAGTCTGTGTGTGTCCATATGCCCAGGCTGCAAACCACTTGGACCAGGGGATCATTAGACCCCTGATCCTTGTTCTCCAGGCAGAGGAGGTCCAGGAATTAAGAATGCTGGGGCCAGGAGCCTGTCACCACTCAACCCTGTATACCTGGTTCCATAAATTTTATTCAGTCTTACTTAACTTATAGACATGTGGGTGCTTTCCTATTTAATAGCCTTAGAAATCCTCTCAGGCAACCCCTTTCCTTAAAAGGAAGGGATTTTAGGCCCAAAGGGCAGAAATAAGATGGGAATGGATCAGAGTACTAAAGGCGGCCTTCTAGACATTTGAGCCCTCAAAAGCAGGGCCAGCATCTTCATGATTATAGTCTCAATGCCTAGCACCATGCCTGAAATTTACTAAGAAATTCAACAATGGCTTCCTTAAGGAAAGTAAGATCTGAAAGGTAGGGATAGGAAACACTAAAAGAGCATGTTTGACTCTGATTGATGAGATTGCCTTCAGCAATGCCAATCAGTCCATGAAAGTGGGGGCATTAACCCCACCTCACCTCTCCTTCTCTGTCACATGAAGTACTGAGATATGATGCATCTTGCATGAATTGCTTAGTGTATATGGGGGTTACCAGAGCTCAGGATTTCTAACTATTACTACCAAACCCTTCAGTTAAAGGGCAAAAGCAAGAAATGTTAATGAGGGCCTGGGAAAATTAGACCGTATCTATTTCATCATTTAAACAAATTGAACAAATATTGTCAGGCTCCTGCAAAATTCCCTTTGAGAAGTAGAAAAAAAACTACATCACCCTGCTCTCCAGGCTAGGATCCACTCCTCTGAAGAGAGGTGGATTTGAAAGTAGATTGGAAAGCAATTTTGTCAACTTAGTAAGTACATTTATCCTATCTACAAACACATTTGTGTAAAAAAATATCTTTTTTAGAAAGAGTTAGCTAGGAGGAAAAACTACCTGTTTTCTAGAATCCTCTGTATGTCAATCTTTTGTCTATCCATGTTCTCCCATATCTGTTTCTTTCAAGAGGATAAATATTAAAACTATTTCATGAGTTCATTTCTTTTCAAGGTGTTACCTCTCTTAGTCATGGAGTTATTTCATACTTATATTGTTTAATTTATTTAAACCTTATTTTTTTAATAAAGATGCTAGCCACAGAGTCTTAGATTTAGATTTTTTCATGTATAAGCAAATGACTAAAATATGTCATATCTTTATAATATTAGTAGAAAGAATATTAAAAAAATAATTCCTAGTTCTTCTGTAATATTTAATTGTCTGCACCTTTGAAAACATTAAAATTAATTTTGTTGCATTTCTAGAAGTGTTTACTTAAATTTCCTATCATTTTTTGAACTCAGTTTCTGATGGAGTGGGGGGGCGGGCAGTGGGAGACAAAGAATCACAGAGTGGGTGGGGACATTAGAGATTTTCTAGTTCATTTTTGAATTTTTGAAATGGAAAAACTGAAGTCTAAGGATATTAATTGACCCACCCAAGATCACAAAGACAGTTCATGGAAGAACCAGGATTAGAACTCTGGCATCTTAGGGGCCTGGGTGGCTCTGCTGGTTGAATATCCAATTCTTGATTTTGGCTCATGTCATGATCTCAGGGTTGCAGGATCAAGCTCCACATCAGGCTCGACACTGAGCATGGATCCTGCCTGAGATTCTCTCTCTCTCTCTCTCTCTCTCTCTCTCTCTCTCTCTCTCTCTCTCTCCCCCCCACACACACACACACACCTCCCCGCCTTGCACATGCACAGACACTGTCTCTTTGTCTCTAAAACAAAAATTAAAAAGAAAAAAAAAGGAACCCTGGCCTCCTAGCTCTTAGCCAGCTCTCCTATGACTACTCCACCATATTAAGAAGTCATTTTGACAAAGATTGAAGCAAAATTGTATGTATTGATAATCAAGCTATGCCCATTCAAATCTGGTACTGATCATGGCTTATTTATATTCTCTACAATATTGTGACACACTGAAATTAGGGCTTATTAAGCAAAGTTGAATAAGAGTTTTAAATTATAACAACGTTTTCCTTCTCGCTATACTTTTAGAAATCAAAATAATTGCCTTCCTGTTAGAGACAGTACAGGGCAATGGCTCCAGAGTTAACTTGTCTTAATCACCTTGTCCAGATGTAGCATCTTAAACAAGTTACTTAAATTCTCTGGATCTCTTTTTCCTCAGCTGTAAAATGAGGATAATAATATTTACCTCAGAGGGTTATACAGATGATTAAATGGGAAAACACATGTAAAAGGCTTAGAACAGTGCCTGGCACACAGCATTGCTCAATAAATACCAGATGTTATGCTTTAAAAGAGATGATGTGTCAAGATGGTAAGTCAGACCTAAGTAAAGCAACATAGCTTAGGTTCTTTCTAGTAATATTAGGCAAGCTATTTAACTACTCCGGGCATCACTTTCCTCACTTTTAAAATGGAGTGAAGATGGTAACTATGCCACAGGGTTGCTGTAAAGATTAAAAAAGATAATGAATGTGAGGTGCTTTAGGAGTCCAGCAGAAGGACTATAATCTTGATGTAGAGAGATCTCTACAACTTAGCTTAGAACATCAAGGTCAAAATGCTAGGAAGGAGCAACATTTTCCACCTGAGACACCCCCATGCCAAACTGAAGTACAATCCTTTATGAAGCAGCAAGAAAGAACATTTGTGAGCTCTCCAAGTGCTTGAGAGCCTAACCCCATGGACCACTATTTTAGTTGAAGCCATATTATCTCTCCTTAGCATTATAGCAAGGGTCTTTCTACCTCTGAGAAGTCCTCATGGCTCAACTCCTCACAAATCACAACTTTGATCATGTCTAATAATGAATGGGATTCCTCTTTCTTTTCAAAATAAAATCTTAATATTTAGCTGACACATGAGGCTCATCATGGTCTGACCTATGACTACCTCTCAACTTCCTATCTCCCCATTCCCTCATTCCCAAGAGGCTGCTATACCTGAGACCATCTACGAGGGTTGAGGGATGATTTTGTATCTTCCACCGTGGAATGCTTTAACCAGAATAACATGCCTTTCCTCCCATGAGAGATTTTGCCAACTATCGTAGAATTCAGTAGTGCTGACTTACTGACCAGTTTAAGTGATTAAAAATGTGGTATCAGTATACAAGATTAATAAATACTAAGTTCACAATAGCGAGGAAGGATAAAGATGAATGGAACTGGAGGAAAGTACTTAAGGAACCTCAAACTAGATTTACAATGTTTATATCTTAACATAAATCAAAGTCACAAATATGGTATAATGTTAACATATATATAATCTGGGGAAGAGCTATCCAGGTACTCATTATATTCTTTCATACATACAAAGTGTTTGCTAGTTAACAAGTGACAAAGCATCTTTATATGCTTTATACATTTAATCCTGAATTTATGCCCATTATAAGAAAGTTGAGATGGGCCCTGAGCCTAAAGTCACACAGCTAGTGTGCAAGGCTCAGTCATTAATATTCATTTAGGAATTGAGGCAGAATTTAGGATGTTCACCAAGATTTGTGCTTACTTCTTCCTGGCTATAAAGCTGAACTCCATTTCCTAGCCTTCCTTGCAATCAAGTTATATCCGTGTTCCAGTCAATAGAATGTGAGTGGAAGTACTAGGAGATATTCCATATCTGTTCCCTGAAATCCTCTCATAAGCAGTCATCCATTCTCTTCCTATATCAGCTAGATGTCAACACCCAGGATGACCTTGAAAGCTTTGTGTTGATGATAACAGAGCCACTGTCATCCTGGATTCCTGAATGCTTGCATGGAGTAGTATGCCCCAACATCAACAATCCTTACAGCAGACTGGATGGACTTTAGATCAATGAAGAAATTTTCTATTGGGTTAAACTACTGGCATTTGTGGGTTTATCAATTAAGAAAAATTGCATTATTTTAAGTAATATATAAATTGGCACTGGAAGTAGAGTGCTGCATTAACAAAAAAATTAGCAGATGTGGCATTAGCTTAGTGGTTGTACAATAGGATAAAAAAAAGTGATGATAAGAGTAAAACTTTCTGCTGTAAAAACGTGAAGGCCAATCACATGTTTACTGAGCCTTTAGCAAATTTATCGCCTATGGCCCAAATCTGGCCCATCAACTTTTTTAAAAAATAAAGTTTATTGGTACATAGCCAGTTATCTATGGCTGTTTTTGCACTACAACAGAATTCAATAGTTGTGACAAAAACTGTTTATGGTCCACAAAGTCTAAAATAATTTACAATTTAGACCTTTACAGAAAAAGTTTGCCAAAAGGTTTACAAAGAGTTCAAATGTTAACAGAATTGGCTTTTACCCTCTAGTTATTAAAGCTATGGTTTGTTTTCAAATAGACATAAAAGGGAACGGAAACAGTCTAGGATTTGAAGACTTGAGGTTTATAATAAAAGGTTATTGCTTCTAGACCCCAAATAGTAAGAGATAAAATGGATTTGAGGAACAAAGATCTATTAGGATTCAGTCCTGAGGTAGACAGATTTAAGGTGTGGCCTTATCACCTAGGTCTTTTATCTCAGATAGTATCCACAATAGAACCACTAAGCTGTAAGGAAGCAAAAAAATAAATAAATAAATAAATCAGGATTTAGGATCATGTTTAGGAAAAGAACTTTAGATATTTTTGTAGGCGCCAGGAACAAAATGAAAGTATTTAAGAGAGTTGTCAACAAAACCAAAAGATTAGACTAAAAATGCCTTTGATTATTCAAACAACCTTTGAGTCCTAAAAGTTGGTGAGCAGAAAGTACTCTACTAAACTTGTACAACTCCAAGGAGGGCCACTTTTCATACCTACTTCAAATGTGATGATACAGCCAGAAGCTATGGAGAACAAGGACATGGAAAAAAAAAATGTTCCTCTAGAGAGAAGAATCAGCATCTAATTAAGGAATTTCGCC